TCCTGAGAGTTTGCTGGCTCTCGCTCCTGCAAGGGGGACTGGCGTCACCGAGGTCTCTGTCCACACCCACAGCTCAGAGGAGGCCTGACCTGCCTGTGCACAGCCCCTCCCCAGCTGCCTCTCTCCCTGGAAAGCCATTCACTAGCCCATGAAAGCAACTAAAACGAGCATGGGCTCACAGTCCAATCGGGGGTTTAAAACTGTGACTCTTTCATTGCGGGGGGGAGGGCTGCCCTCTCTGCATGTTTCCAGGAGCTAACCTTCTGCCTTAGGCCTCCCGTGGCTGCCACACCCCAGCAGGCTTCTGGGTGCGAAAATGGGTCTAGAGTTCCGACCTCCACTGTGGAATGACACGGACAAAAACCAAGCTTTATTTTCACTTCTTTCACAAGTGTTTACTGAGCACCTACTACGTGCCAGGCACTGTGCTAGATACTGGGGGTTGGCAGAGAAGAAAACAGTCAAGTCCCTGTCCTCATGGAACTTAAATTCAGGAAGGGAAGGGACTAGACAAACATTTAGTGCATTTTCAGGTAGTGGTAAGTCCCGTTAGACACACACACACACACACACACACACACACACACACACGCACCAGGGCCAGGGGAGCGTGGATCACAGCAGTGCTCCTTTAGATCCAGTGATCAGGGAAGACTTCTCTGTGGAGGTGACTTAAGCAGGCACCTGAGCAAAGGGAAGGAGTGAGCCACAGGAATAATGGTAAGAATTCCAGACGGGGTGCACAGCATTGCCCCGAGGTAGGGTGAGCTGGGCATGTTTGAGGAACACCAAAGCAGCCCCATTTTTTTTCTGAGTCATACTATTATGAGTACTTTTAAATTTTAGTTGTGACAAAATACACATGACATAAACTTTACCATAGTAGCCACTGTAAAGGATCGTTCACCCACATTATGTTTAAGCGCAACCATCACCAGCATTTTTTTCACCCTCCTAAACTGAAATTCTGTACCCATTCAACAGCAACTCCCCATTCCTCTCTCCCCCCCAGGCCCTGGAAACCACCATTCTACCTTCTATGGGATGAGCACGTGAAATGCATCATTGAATGTAATCCTCAAAACAACTGTAGGCTATAGGTTTTACTGCTGTGCCCATTCTACAGATGGGGAAACTCAGACTGAGTGGGCCGTCTGAGGTGACACAGCTCCTAGGTGGAGAAAGCAGACCTTAGATCGCTTTCCTGGCTCAGGCGCTCCTTCTTAACCCCCTACCTGGTGGAGGTGAAGGATGCCACTCTGCAGCCCCTCCGACAGCCCAGAGGTGGCCCCCGGAGGGTTTATCAAGGGTTACCGGCATGTGAGAAGCTTTTCGTGCTAGAGCAGGAGGGGTTTGCTGCACCTATCTGTCCAGAAGGAAGGGGCTGCTGCCCAGAGACATGGGTTAGGGTGGAGCTAGCAGTTTCCTGGTTTGAGTGTTGTGGGCTTTGGTGCCAGGGAGTCCACTCCCTCCCTTATCACTTAGAAACTGAGAGCTGGCTAAGTACACCTCCAAGTCTACTTTCTCCCTTGCCAACATAATCATACCGACATTTCCGGGTTGCTGAGACGATCAAGTGAGATAAGGCACGTAAGAGACCTAATCAGTGTCAGGTACATAGTAGGTGCTCAACCAATGTTCCCTCCTTGCCTGGGCAGAGCATGAGCTTCACCCACTGGCCAGGAGCCAGCCCCTTCCCCCTTCGCCCCGGGCCAGGCACACTTACATGCCTCGCATGCATCATGTTATTTGACACGGAGGATGCTTACAAGCAGTAATCTCATTTTACAGGCCAAGAAACCAAGGCAGAGGGAAGTGAAACAAGTTGCCCACAGCTAGCGCGTGTGGCGGAGCCCCAGGATTTAAACCCGACACTGTGTAGCGGAGCGGACTGGAGCAAAGACCAGCCACACTGTGGAGACTGCTCGTGCTCCCCGGCCCCCGTGGCAT